GTCCAATGAAGAGCAGAATACATGAAGATTACAGATTCGTCCGAAACAGAGTCGGACAAGCAAGTACCTTCCAAAGCGACTCCTCAAGCATCTCAACATCAATTTTCTCAAAAACCATCTGGTAAAACAGATTTTTGTTTCGAAGATCTTAAATTTGTGTGGAAGACATATGAAAAGTTGAAAAGCAACAATGCATCTTAATTGCTCTTAAATCAGTGCCTACGAGACAATGGTTTTCGCTCTGAGGTAGAACTTGTGCAATTCTATACTTTGTTTCATTCATAAACTGTTCATTCTAAAGCGGATCTGACTAGCCCTGAAAAGAAGGAGAGTATGTCAAGGAAAGGTAAAGAAAATGTACGAGAATTATCTACTCCTATCCCAAAGAAACCTGTTTTTAAAGGCTCCCAGTCAAAAGTGGCTCAGAATCTAAAGTTGAAAAGAAAAAGGAGGATGATGATGCTAGATTATTCAATAATTTTGAAATTAGGGCAGGTATTGCTTCCGGAGTAAAAGGAAATGGACAACTGTTTCGAAATAAAATGCACCGTAATTATCATTATCTTTTGTTATCTAGAGGAATTATGAACCATAAAAGTGTTGATTTTGCCTACCTGGAAAGTGTTGGTATTATGGTGAGGCAACATTTTGAAAAGTTGGGTATGCAGGAATTTTGTCTTCAGTCTGCTCATGTACATGGTAAACTGACTGCCTACTTCTACTCCAATAATTCCTTTTTGTCTCCAAACTGGATTCATTTTATAGTATGTGATAAAAAGTATGATCTGTCTGCTACTACATTAGCCGATATTATTGGAGTAAAGCATACCAAGTTCACATCAATTGAAGTAAGTACAGAAGAAGCTTCCAAGGCAGCCTCAGAAAATCCAAATTTCTCAAGAAGTTCAAAAAGACACATATCCTATTCTGATTTGACAAAAAAAACAATGATCTTACATAAGATCATCATAAATTGCTTGAGGCCCAAAGCATCATCCAAGACAGACCTGTTTAAATTTGAGGTCAAGCTAATATGGGCAATCCTGAATGAAGTTCCTTTCTCTCTCCCTCATATTATAATTCTTCATATGTACAGAACATTGCAGAAGAACAAGGGACAACTTCCTTATGGTGTACTAATCACCAGGATTTTCATTTATCTCAAAATTGATATTCCTATTGAATTGTGCAAAACATTTGTTCCTCTGATGTATGTTGGGGAGAAAATGATTGCTAAAATGAATTTCAAGCAAATTGATATCAGAAAGGAAAAGGAGATTGCTAGAAGTAAATCCGAAGGCAAGATTAGTGAAAAGTCAGAAGCACAAACTGCTGGAAATAGAGAAGGAGAAGGAGGGGAAAAAGCAAAGTCAATAGAGAATAAGAAGGAGCAGACTTTCTCAATAAGTCCTTATCAAGTTTATAGAAAGTGAAGAAAGATCCTTCTCATAAATGAAGAGGATGAAATAGAGAACACTGATGAAGGACATAATGCTGTTAAAGAGACTACAGAGAAATAAAAAGAAGTTTTAGAACCTGTTGCAGGGATGTTAGAATCTATTGAAAAGACTTCACAACCAGATCCAAAAGGATCAGGTTTGAAGCAACAAGAATAAGGCAATATTCCTATGGAGACAAAAGAAGGCCAATCTCCTCTCCAACATCCTGAACATACGGTGGAAAAGAATGATGCTGCAAAACATGCAAATATTCATGCGGAGATTTTGGCCGAGGAAGGGACTGAATTTGAACAAACAGAACATGAAAATGTCTAGGGACAAATCTCACAGGACTGGACCATACTCTCACTTTTGCTGTAAATTAAGGAAAAACAATCTGTTCTTAAAGAAGACATGAAGAAGCTTAAGGCAATTGTTGAGGAAACAATCATAATATTCGCCTTCAAGCAAAACAAGATAAAGCAAATATTGAGAAAGCAGTTTCTCAGTTCATCCAATATTGAGAAAGCTGTTGGTCAGTGTTCCACCAAGATTGAGGAAGCTGTTCAAATCCTGGAAAACTTCCAACTTGTTCGAAACCCCTATCACAAAATAGCCTGCTTCAACTGCTTTCTTGTTTCAAAATTTACCAATTGAATGTGTAATTTGATCATTCACTTTGACTTGGTTTGTTATTTCAGTGACTGACATGGTTGAATTATTCAGTTTAATGGTTTGATTATCTTTTTTTTTTTTGCTGATGACAAAAAGGGGGAAAATGTATGCAGATTATAAATATGCATGTTGATATTACTTGATATGTAGACATAACATGTTTTAAAATGCAAGTTATTGGACTTACTCGAAGAAAGAAAAGGACACAGACATTAAAAGTTTGCACTTATAATTATTCTCTATGCCTTATGCGCTTAATAGATATTTACGCTCACTTTATTGTCAAGTCTATTTCAAATTTTTTAAATTTGCATGGAAGTTTTGTCACCATAAAAAATGGGGAGATTGTTGAAGAAACTTCCTAATAGATTTTGAAGTTGATAAAACTATTCATGTTAAGTCTGACACGTGCTCTGAAGTATTTTGATCCATGTAGATATATTCTGGAAATGGCTATTTCGAGAGAACTAAACTTTCTGGACGCTCAGACTTTACGAGGACTAGCAAGAAAATTTCAAACTTTACGGCTTTCGAAACGAGAAGTTCATACTTCACTGAAAAAGTCATCTAGACGTTATATTAAGCAGATGAAGAACTTCAGACTCTATTTCTGAAAGGTTCAGACCTTACTGAAGATCCACACTGACTTAAGTTCTGAATGTGAAGTAAGAACCATAAATTATTCAGAACGAACATAACGGTTAGTGATATGGCATGGATTTCACAGAAGGAAAGTTTTGATTGACTCAATCTTAAGAAGATATAATTGATTGACAATCAAACATTAAAGCAAGTGTGTGTATATATATATCTCACAACGGATAAAGCTCTACTTATGGAAACCAAGATTCTGGTTATACGAGCGACCAAATTCAGCGGAATTCAGTTTTTGTCAACCAACGGCTACCCAATCAATTTTATACAAATCTATTCAAGGTGAATATTGGAAGATGATCCTTTGAAGACCGTTCAACGGTTAGTTTGGAAGTGGATGAGTATAAAAGAAGATTAATGATGAGCAGAAGGTAGTGAACAAGATCAAGAATGAACAAGTCTAATGTCTAGGCATACTCCGATTCTACTACTTGTTTGTCCTGAGCCAAACATCAAGATCTTGAGGGACATTTTGTAAGAGTGATTGTGTGAGATAGAGAGTTATATCATTCACGGAGTGATATTACTCAGAACTTGTAGTCCTTTTTGATCACATAGTAAAATCCAGCCGGTAGGCTGTCAGCGTGGGAGAGTGGATGTAGGCTTGACCTACGCCGAACCACTATAACTTCTTGTGTGCAGTTTCTCTATCCCTAAACTCTTATTCTATTGTTTATCCTGCACACTAGCACATTGTCTATATAAACTGCTCAGAATCTAAACATTATTCAGACTTTACTGGTGATCAATTATTGCCGTTATAAAAATTGATCAAAGTTATCTAAAATCACATACTCACCCTCCTCTAGGTGATCCTTGATAGCTATATCAAAGATCAGTTCTCTAGGATATTCCTGGGGGCGGTGTATCGTATTGTAGAGTCTTCATGTGAATAGTTGGTAGATGGGGAGTGCAATCTCCCACCATTAGATTTAGGAGAGATTTACGAGTGAGGCCTATAATTGTATATAAATGGGTCTCATTTCTCTCATTTGTATCCATTCACAAATAATAGAAGTCCGGAGTTTTTCTCTAAAGCTTATCGTCCTTATGAGTGAGGAGGGAACGTCGACTATTCGGTGGTGTTACCCCTGCAACTTCCCTTTCCCTTCTATATCTTTGCTCTAGTTTAGTTTTATTTTTTTTTTCACATTTTCATCTAAAAAATTTACTGAAGATATCTATTTTATTTCTTATTATATTTTCTAAAGTTGTTAATACTTAATTGAACGATCATTATATTCTTTTTATCGAAAGATGAAATTGAACAAAGAAAGTATACCATTCAAAAATTCTATTGGTATACAAAAAAAGTTTTTGAACAATTTAGCTAGATTAGACAAAGTACTTTTAAACGCATGGGATAGTGCACCGGTTTTAAACTAAAATTTTGAAAAGAAGGATTTGAATTGTTGCTGGAAAATAATTAGATGGATTTTATAAATCGTTTTTGAATGATTTTTTTTCTCACTATTGTTAAGTATTTATCAATATTTATTTACAAGTTCGAGTCGGAAGTGTCATTTATGCACTTTATGAAGCGTTCTGTTAAGTATTTGTCAATATTTCTTTAATGTAAAAAAAAAGCATTCCGTAAAGATCCCACATTAAATAAATAGAAAGTCAAAAAACAGGGACATAATTATAGTTAAGCACATAGTAAAACTACCCGCCACTTCATAAGAAATTTATCCATGGGAATTAGAAGGTAAACTCACGACGTGGTCGAGATTTAATTAACAATGCAAGAGTAATCGCGCTTTCAAACAAAATAAAAAAAAAGATGAATTCTTGAAATCTAATTAAATAAAGTTTTGAGTTTGGATGCATTGATTACCCATAATATAATATTATGAAAGAGAAAGTGTGTTGGAAATTAAAAAGTTTCCTCGATTCATAGTGGGAATCGATGGAGCCCTTTTATTAAAATACCATTTTAAGGACATTCGCTAAATAATCCAATAAGGAAAGTTTGTAATAGTTCCCACGAGATGATTTTTCTCACGTTACGTGCAACAAATACTTTGGAAAGTTAAAAAAAAATAAAAATTCCCCCGATTAAACATGCTTAACAAGTGTCGGGGCTAATTAGACGCTAAAATTCGGATAATACCGATCTCAAAATGCGTAACTAAATCCCCGAATCCCCAAACAATAATTTGTGTCCACGTGGCGTTCTTGCGGGTGTCCACAATTCAAATCGGGAAGGGCATTGGACCCCGACAAACGAAAGAGGCCCAACCTCCGAAGCCCTTTCAAACTCCTCCTGTTCAAATCTGAAACTCCCCAACGGTCGAACTCCAACATCAACTGCTCTGCCTCCGTCCTGTTCCTTCAATTTTCCTGCTCTGCCTCGCGATTTCTTCAGATTTCCCGCAAATCTCCCGCCTCCAATGGACGCATCGTCCGCGGATTTACCCTCCAAAGTCCGGGTGGTCGTGCGGGTCCGCCCTTTCCTCCCTCACGAGGCCGCCGCTGCCGCCTCGGGGAACGGCGGACCCGCCTCATGCGTTTCCGTACTCGGTCGTCGTGCGAGCGGATCGTCGTCCCCCGACGACGAGGTCACCGTCCATCTCAAGGACCAAGCCACTAGGTCAGTGGAAAAAGTCCCTTACTCGATCGTGCTCGAATTTGTGCTGCTCCGAGACCGATTTTGTCCCTCCGTAGGGTTTTGATTTTGTGTTTTTGTTCTTTCGGGTGATTTTGTTTCTTTGTTCGCCGTGCGCGCGCCAGTCGGAACGAGTGCTATAAGTTGGACTCGTTCTTCGGCCAGCAAGACGACAACGTGAGGGAGATATTCGACAGGGAAGTGAAGCCCCTGATTGCTGGGGTCTTCCATGGGTGCAATGCTACGGTGTTCGCCTACGGCGCCACGGGCAGCGGTAAAACCTACACGATGCAGGTTGGCACTGTATTTTTGAGAAAAAATTCTAGCTTTTGAGCTTTGATTGTGACTTAGACTCACGTGAAAACAGAAGGAAGTATTGAGTTCCCAAGTTAGTCTGGGCGCTTCTGAAGCTGGTTAGGTGAAATTGAATTGAATAATGGGCTCATATTTATATGCAGTTTGAGCTTTTGAGCAAAACGTCCGGATGATCATGATTCTGTTGTTCAACTTCGTTTCACTTTGTATGTAATTAGTCTCGGGTCGGGTTTCGGGAGAATTGGTAGGAAGGACGGGGGGAAAGTTTTCCGCAGCGAACAGAAGTCGCAGAGCTAGCAAATTCTATGTTCCTCATGATGAATGCCCCGTTGCTTGGAATACTAATAGAATGTCGTCATATATAAGCATGTTTGGGGGGTGGATTGTTGGTTTTTGAATCTCTTTCTTCTTGTTGTATTCGGACTCTAATGGTGACTGAAATTGTTTCCTTCGCTTGAATACTGCTATTAGCGTTTCTGCCGAAAGAGAATTGACGAAATGATAAATGATTTAGGGTACCGATGAACTGCCGGGCCTGATGCCGTTGGCCATGTCCACGATCCTGTCCGTGTGTGAGACCATGAGAAGCACTGCAGAGATTTCGTACTACGAGGTCTACATGGAGAGATGCTATGACCTTTTGCAAGAGAAACCGAAGGAAATCGTGATTATGGACGACAAGGATGGGCAAATCCACCTGAAGGGACTCTCGTGGGTCCATGTGCAATCAATGTCCGAGTTTAACGAGGTGTTTGCTAGTGGAATCCAGAAGCGCAAAGTGGCACACACTGGTCTAAATGACATCTCCAGCAGGAGCCATGGTGCACTCGTTATAGCTGTCACCACACCTTGTGGCGATGGTTCTGATGCTGTAGTCACCGGAAAGTTGAACCTCATAGATCTAGCCGGTACTTTCTAATTTCCTCACTGTTAAGTTGTTTACTGCAGATCATTTTTGCCCACGTTTTTTTATATAATTGTCTTTCGTCAGGGAACGAAGATAATAGGAGGACCTGCAATGAGGGAATCCGTATGCAGGAGAGCGGCAAGATAAACCAATCGCTGTTCGCATTATCCAACGTGATTTATGCTCTGAACAACAACAAACCTCGCGTGCCTTATCGAGAGAGCAAGCTGACTCGAATACTGCAGGACTCTCTTGGTGGAACCAGCCGTGCCATCATGGTTGCATGTTTGGTAAGACTCAAGTGTGGAACTCCCCTTAAGAATTTGCAATTGTCCATTGGATCTTTAACAAATATCATTTCTGTTTGGTGTTCAATTAATAGAATCCTGGAGAGTACCAAGAATCTGTTCATACTGTGAGCTTGGCAGCTCGGTCACGCCACATCACTAACTTCATTCCTTCTGCTCAAAAGCAAGAGACTCCCAAGTTGAAAGTTGACATGGAGGCAAAACTGCGTGCTTGGCTTGAATCAAGAGGCAAAACAAAGAGTGCAAACAGAGTCGGAGCCTTGAAGACACCAGTTTCTGTCAAGAAAACTGCTGAGCGTCATACTTCTGTTAAAACGAAGGTCAGCTCTAGACAGGATAATTCTGTCTCCCGAAGGTAAGGTCATGACGGCCAATGAAAGTGTTGAACGGCATACTATTCCTTCAATTTTATCTGATGGTCACATAAATGCAGGATCTTGCCGGTCTCCTCCAGAAATTTATTCGATAATGGAGGTTTGGAGGAAAGGGACGCAGAGGTATGTCGTTGGTTAAGAGGCTGTTTTGTACATGACATTATGTCCCTTAGAATGAAATTCCAACCAGCAATGAGGACCTACTCTGCATGACTTCCTTACATATGCCGCTGTTCTTTGTCACTGTGATGCGTTCAATGCTTCTGCTGGTCCCTTAATTTTTGAGTAATTTATAATGATATAATACAATGATTACAGTGGTTTCTTGTCAATTATGATCTGAAGCATCTCATCACGAAGAATGCGTATACTTTTACAAGGAGATGTACTGGCTTCTCTAACAGTCAAACAATGTTCATTTCAGAACCTGCAGTATATACCTGAGCACACAGACATTAAGGTGAAAGATGTGCTCGATGCAGTTACTTTGGAATCAAGAATAGACCTCCGAGGTACTCTAGTCTTCAAGGATTCTTCTATTTGTAGTCAATTTAGATAAGCTGGAATTTGGATTATCTTCGATACATGGGATATATCTGCTTCATGCTATCGTTTAAAGTGGCTGTAATTATATGTAGGTGAGCCAATTGAAAAGGACGACCGCGCTATTGCCAAAACATCCATCGATTTCACTGAGTCATTTAGAGTTACCGGTACGAAAAGTGGCAGGCAGAGTCCCCAAGGAAAAGTGCTTTCCCCAGTAGAGAGAGCCAAAACGTCTGTCGACTTCACAGAGTCATATCGAGTTACCAATACGGCAAATGCAAGGCAGAGCCCAATAAGAAAAGCACTCTCCCCAGTAGATGTAAACATCGGACAAAGGGCTCTAGTAACATGCTCCGAGCCATTTGAGCCACGGACCCCAGTTACATCTTCCAAGAGCTGCACAAGCAAGCTCCAAAATTTTGTCACTCCACTTGATAAATTTAATGAGTGCAGCTCTAACTTGAAGGTAAGTAGAAATAACCTAGAACCGCTTCACTTTCATTGCCAACATTTTAGTACTGTGGTGGTGGAACTAACACGCGGTATCTGATCTGCAGACCTGTCTTATTAAAGAATTCATCGATGTCTTGAATGTTGCCAGCAGGTAATGCGGCCGTCTGTTGTATTAAGAGCATGTATTTATTCTTGTCAGTGAGTACTGAACATGTGTTGTGGTTGTTGCAATTGCAGAGAGGAGCTTCTTGAGATTAAGGTACGCATGTAGTAGGAATTAGGTACACTTCAAAATGAACATTTCGTGTTGTTAACACTTTTTGATATTTTCTCTTGAATGATGATACAGGGCATTGGACCGAAGAGAGCAGATTATATCCTTGAACTCAGGGACTCTAGCCCTCTGAAATCGGTAATAAGACTACTTTCTTCCGTCAACTTTCTTCCCCTTTCGGTTTATGTAAGCGGGAGATTATAGCAGTGAAAATTAAGACTCTTCTCCTAACTTATTTTGTCATTACGTTTTTCTGGGTAATGCAGTTAGATGACTTGGAGAAGATCGGCCTCTCCTCTAAGCAGGTACACTTTAGTTACACCTAAACTTGTATTTAGATACATAGATATGTGACCTCCGTCCAAGACAAATCTCTGATGTTCTCTGGATCTTCGACATCAACTAATCTATATGTGACCCCGGATTTTTTTGCAGGTTCATAACATGTTTGGTAGAGTCGCAAGAGATGCGTTCGAGTGATCCGGAAGACCGGCAACAACCTGTTGTTGAGCATTTCTGCTTGAATCATCTCACATGTTGTCTCTGTCTCGTCCCTGTTTTGGGAGATTGTAAACAAGCTGCGTCTAAGCTTTGACAAGAATTTTAAAATCCATAAATTGTGAGATCAGAAAGGATGTAATGTCACAAACAATAGCGTCTTGATCCTGTGAATCTCTCATTGTTGTGTTCGTCCATTATCCAGATCGTTGTTTATATCCTATTCGATCCTTGATCTCTCATTGTTGTGTTTGTCCATTATCCAGATCATGTGCGTTGTTTACAATCCCATTCGATCCTATGATCTCTCATTGTTGCGTTCGTCCATTACCCAAATCATGTGAATTGTCGATAAGCATTTTTGGCATCTCGTCCCCGTCCCCGTCCCTCCCGTTAATCCGTGTAAAAGATTGCAAGGGGAGGAACAATTAAAAGAATGACAGTTTATAGTGCAAAGGGTTTCGAAGGCGTATGCACATGTAGATGGGGCTTGTCTACCCCATCGTGCTCTTATAAAAAATAAAACAAAATAAGCTTTGTTGGCTGTCGGCCGTCGGATGAAACCGGTACGATGTCGGCATGAAAATGAAAATTGATTTCCACCAGGAGCACATACAAACCAAGACTTCAATAATCTAATGAGCCAACTCATCTGATGTAAACAGTGCATCACGCCAAATCGGTTTTGGAAGATGCATGCACCGTGTATGACATAATTGGTTGCGTTCGGCGATTGGATATGATAGACACAAAGTCCGACTTAGGCGACGCTTCGTGGATAAAGTTAGGCAGACGTTTCAAGTTTGAACCACGGACTTGAAGGTGACCCTCCTTCGTTTCCCAATAATTCACCCCCCAAACCCCACCCCGACGTCCACTTCAAGTCTCCCCGAAGTCGACAAAAAACATCATGTGATTTGCAATCTAATCTTTACGTCTCCTCACACTAATCTTCAATTTAAGAAGAGGGGAAGATATTTGTGGTAACCCATTAGTCAAAATTGTCCATGATACCAGGGGGAGGGGTGGGGGGCAATGAATTTAAAGAGAGAATGCCGACCTTTTTGACCGCAAGAACAGAGCTTTCAATCGCCTTATCATTTCATTATCTGACCCCAACACAAACCAACCCACCCGAAGCAGAGACACCCAGATCGGACACGACCTTTACACAGAGACGACAAAAAAAGAAGGAAGAACGAAAGCAGAAAAACAACACCAAAGCCAGTCACGGCTGAAGCCAACCCCCCCATCAAAGGGGGGAGACCCTAAACCGGGGAGTTCAGGATGCAGTCGCACACATCCAGCCGCGGCTGCTTTATTCTAGCACACAAGACAAAGACCCACATGGCGAAGGACACATAGTAAAACGCCAACATGTCATAAAGCTAAGGATTAGTTCCGATCTCTCGGTCTCTGCCTTCGGTCGGGGGGCGGGTCGGCGGTGCTGAATTCAAGGTCGCGATCCGTTTCATTTGCAGTTGCATGGGTCGCAGCTGCAGTTCGAGCCGCACTTGCACCCGTTCTCGGCTCCGGCCTCCATCTCGGACCCCTCGAAGTATCTGCATGCCGTAAAACATTCGCATCAAAATCACAGATCTCAGGCTCGAGGCCAAAAAAACAAGAGGCTTGCGTGGAAAGAAACGTCTCCGATGAAGTTCCGATTTTTTCCGTAGTCTAATGGGGAAGAGGAGACGCGTACGACTTCTCGGGAGCGACGCCCATGACGAGGGTCTCAGTGGTGGTCCTCTCGGTGTAGCTCAGGTCCGCATGCATCTTGCACCTGCATCACCATCGCCATCATCGTCATCATCCACTCAACACAAACAACACCGTTTCATTTTCCAGTCACCCATCGCAAGACTCGACAAAGCGAACGACAACTAAGCCCAAAAAAGGGAAAAAAAAAACCCAGCAATTCAAAGAAGTTTTCAGTAGGCACTGAAGGATCAAACAGGGCGGTAGAACAAGAATCATCGGCGCATCGACGAGCGCCGAACGTAGGGAGCAGCAGAGGGAGACGTAGACGTACCCTCCGCAGCCGCCGCTGCACTTGCAGCCAGAGCCGCAGCCACAGTTCCCTCCGCAGCACGACATCCTCGGGTTGCGGTGGAAGGGTGAGAAGGCAGCCGGAGAGCTCGGAAAGATCGCGGAGGCAAGACGAAGGTATCGAAGTTGATCCTGAACTTTCTCCTTGGCGCAGAACGAGTTCTCAAGAACGAAGCGCCGCCCGAATTTATAGCGCGAGGTTGGGGCACCCCGGGGACGTGTCCACCGTACACGTGTCGCGATATCTACCCCTCGATCCCATCCACGCGCGTCGCTCCGAAATAAGATGTCCCGTGAGCGGTGGGCCCCCCTACCTCCGCGGGAGTGACCATCGCCTGCACCCGATTCTATATGATTTCACCTCATCTCGGCCGTCAAAACGATTAGCGTCGCGTGGGCCCCGCGCTGTTTAACGGGTTTCGAGATGGGGGATAGACAGACCCCGCGCGTTCCTCCTGGTGGGGGGCGGGGTCCATCTCCGCGCGGCGTATCCGTTGGATGACGAGACGTTCGGACGATTGGACGGCCTGGATTGTCTTGCAAGATGCCGACCCACCCCCAACCGAGCCGAGCCGAAGCCGCGGCGCGCCGTCTCTTCTTATCTTAGAGCCAGATTCGCCCCTCCTTGTCTTAGCGCGGAACGGAGCCGAAGCTATTTTCAAGGCTCGTACTCAATAATTTATTCGGAATTCGCTCGCGCGATATCGAAATTTGTCGATACTCAGCTCGACAGGCTCGCCGATACGGCAAATTGCTTATTATCTTTTCGAAGAGACATCTAATCCAATACTTAGGGAAGACCGTTTTTTTCGTTTCTTTGTTTTTTTTTTTGGTTGCTAATCAGCCCCGTCTATCATACTTGCTCAGATGAAGTTCACCGCCCGTTACGGGGTGAATTTCTTCCGGTAAATTAATTTTTCCGGTCGATCCCGCGTCGCAAACGGCGTAGAAGATTCGATGATCTCCGTCTTTTTCACTCGCGAAGTTAGATTCATTTTGTTCCGTATGTGCCGTGAGGAGAAAATTTAGGTCCTTCCCGGTGAGTATAAAGTAGGAGCCGCGTAACGTGTCTCGCTATCGTCTTTTACTTCGATCCGAGATTCCGTGGCTAAAATATTTGGGATAATGACATAAACGGTCCCTGGAATTTATCATAAGTGACGTGGTCCATGAACTTTTAATTTGTTTAATGTGATCCCTAAACTTTAGCCTAATGTGCAATACGATCTCTGAGCTTTTAGTTTGTTCAAGGTGGTCCCTGAATCTTGGATACATGTTCAAATTAGTTTCTAGATTATATGAAAATGTTCAGCGGTATCATTTCATTAATTTAAGTTTAGGGATAACGTTGAACATTTCATATAGTCTAGGGACTAGTTTGAACATGTACAAAAAATTCAGGGACCACCTTGAACAAAATAAAAATTTAGGGACCACATTGAAAAAATTGAAAGTTCATGGACCGCATTGTATATTATGACAAAGTTTAGAAACTATTTGTGTCAGTTTCCCAAAACATTTTGAACTTCTTTAAGAAAAGTTTAGTCATTTTTGGTTAGAGATATTCTTTGAATGGCTCCATTTTGAAAAAAATGCTTACCAACTTTTCATCTAAATAAAAATAATAATAATAGAATAATAATTTTACTTTAGAAAATTATGAAAAATATTACATAACTGTATTAGGAAAAAATTATGTATCGATCAACAAGGCTATAAAGATACAGGTTATTCCATATCAAGAACCTTAAATACTAAAAAAAAAACGTATTATTAAAAATAAAAGTAGTTTAGACTCTAAGCTTGTATCATAAAATGGATTCCAAATAGGCAAAGCTCCTTAGGAGAGTGAGGTTATTATAAGTTTAAGGCTCCATTTGTTTCGCAAAAAATGAATGAATTTAGAGAAAATATTTTCTAAAAAACGATCGTTTGTATCGTTTACTTATGAATGAACGAAGAAATATTTTCATCTTCTATAAGTTGTTGTCAGTAACAATTTTTTTATTGACTAATTACTTTAAGTGATATAAGTAATCGTTTTTACGAAAATATATTTCAAATAATTCATTTCTCGTGAGACAAAATCGAAATAATAAGCAGTGTTAATTAGCCCGACAAACACGTGGTGGATACGTCAACTTGGGCTTCCATTTTTCCTTAAGAGATCAAATTGGGGGGAGAGGGGGAAAATGAGAGGAAAAGGGTGAGAACGTGGTCTGTGCGAAAGCGTCGGGCCTTTGAAAGCTACACCACGTTGGAACACGGATGAACTCGACCCGTCCGACTTTAGGAAAGAGGTTAAAGGGTATGATTGAGGTGTACATTTGTCTTCACGCTAGTTTGATTGATAATGACTTTTCGCCTACCCATCTCCATCGATGAATCCGATGAAAAGGTCTAATTCAAAAGGGGTGATGGCTTGAGCAGCTTTAATTATGATTTCGCGAAATAATCGACTCGAATCGAGCTCCGAAATCATGGCGTGCCACCTTAAACGCTTCCTTTATATCGTGAAAAATGAATGATTTGAATAACATTTTTAAAAAAATGAACACTTGTATTGTTTACGAAAATGAATGAATCAAACACATCTTTATTATCCTCGAGCCATAAATTGTTATCAATAATGAAAAAAATTTCCATTTACAAATTATTTCTAGTGATATAAGTGATTATTTTTTTAAAAATATTTTTTAAATTATTTATTTTTCGTAAAATAAAAGGAATCTAGTATATAGATGAACGATGGTGAAGTGGGTCTAGATCTCCAAGGTCCAAAAAACATTATAAACTAATTTTTTTTATTAACATGATAAAATAGCTGTAAATTGATTTTCAGAAATTCATTTGGAATTAGAGTCGAGTCTTTCATTAAAAAAAAAAACAAATATCGATCCTATTTTAGAACAACTCTTAAAGGGTTTTTCAATACATGAAAAAGAATTCGAACGAGGAAAGAAAGAGAGTGAGTCAGATTTCTTGCGGCTATCTAAAAATTGTTTCAATTGAAGGTTAAAAAAAAAAAACGAGATTGTTGATCTTCGACGGGACAAAGTAAGTCAGTTCGCTAAGAAGTATAGAGATTACCAATCTTAATAGTTGATACTCCGCAGCTATTCTATTGTTCGTGGAAAGGGAAAGGAAGAGTCCTAGTTTTTCTATGGATAGAGCCTTCTATGGCAACGAAATCATCGCCCAGAATTTAGGTTCTTTCACACTCTTTAAATATTATAGCGCCATGTTTTGAGAGATTATGAAAGAGAATACCTTGTCTTGAGATGAAAATTTCTCATCAAATTCCATTGAGTTTCTCTTCATCTTTAACCATTGCTTCTGTTGGAAGCACGCAGCAGAAGCCCGATACCTTCATCTAGGGAGATTTACAAGAGGGAGCTTAAGTCCAAGCCCGTTAACATATCTAGTTGGACCTACTTTCACTCAAAAACTTAAGCCAATGAGTTGTGGGTCAACTAGGATATATTAACTGCTCAACACCACATCAATTATCTGATGTGGGATTTCTCTAACACAACTCACACGTGTATCTCAACAATCTCGTCCTCACGTGTGAGCTCAGTGTTATGTTTGCTCTCCCTTAATTTAGGTATTCTTCTGCATCAACTTATCTTGACTCAAATCTCCAAGTCATTGCAATGCACCCGCAAGTATGCACAACAACTATCATTAACTGCCTTTGTGGAAAAATTCTGACTTTTTTATCCACTACAACCATCATCAATTGCTAACTTAGGATTGCATCACCCATCGTCTTTATTTCGCGCACCAGACCAACTGTCCATGGTCACTTCTCGCCAGACCAACCGCGAAAGAAATTTCCACCCGAAACAAGCGTCGATCTTGAGATTTCTTTATTGAAATATTCACCAAACACCTTAATAGATTGGAGGCCCCCACCAATCAACCATCGGCTCTGATATCAATTGTTGGGAATGCGTAGCAGAAGCTTAATACCTTCACCTAGGGAGATCGACAAGAGGGAGCTCAAGTTCAAGCCCGTTAATATATCCAGTTGGACCCTCCTTCATTCAAAAGCTTAAGCCAATGAGTTATGTGCCAACTAAAATATATTAACTGCTCAACACTACATCAATTATCCGATGTGAGACTTCTCTAATACAACTCACGCGTGTATCTCAACAACTTCTTATGTTAATTAGTTTTTGGTCATGTCCACATCTTGCAACCGCATCTCCCGTGTGACGGGCTCATACATACATACATACATACATATATATACATACATATATATATATATATATGCACTGAATAGTTTTACTTCAAATCAGACATTCCATAGCGGATATGAAATTCTTAGGGAGTAGCTATCAAGTTGCCAATCTCCTCTCTTTGCCAAGGGAAGAAAAAAGAGTATCATTGGGGCTTGGTGACGATGATAATTATCGGTTACTTGAAGAAATTTGTTGAAATATCTTCAATGAAGAAAGTTGTGACTGAAAATGCCTATCCACTATTTAAGGTAATACGGATGATGGTCCCCCAAAAGCAATACTAATTAGCCTAAAATTAACCTTCCCGTTCTTAGTTAGATCTTGTAGACGAGTGCCTCTGGAGCATTTATTATACACGCTCAATTAGGAAGATTTCAATTTTCAAGATAATGTTTACACATAGCACAAGTTAAATTTTCTAATACTTTATCCAAATAAGGAGCAGAAGTCACAAAAATACTCCAAACTATAACCAATGAGACACATTTATCATAAAAAATTTTCGGTAACACCAAAAATATCAAACTTGTATATGTGTAACACATTTACCCTCCGTCAAAATTTTATCGGTGATAACGGTTAATATGGCACCCACGTGGTTTAAGTGAAATAAAACGATCTTGTTTTGGCTAAAACATCTTCTAACGGAATCTTGACGGGGGATAAATATGTCACTAGTGTTGATACCAAAAAATGATCTGGTCCTTGATACACAAGTGCCTAGCATGTGAATGAAGAAAACATGTGAGTGGCATATGAGTATGGCTAAAAGTAATCATGTGCATAACACATGAACACCATCATGCACGTATTGATCTATCGACGGGCACAGGAGTCAACACCTGTCGATCAATGACGATATTATTTAATGCCACGTGTTCAGTTGTTGAAATATGACCACGG